CAATGTCGCCCGCTCTGGCCCCAGGGATACATTTGACTATGGCCGCTGGTGTTGCTAACTTCACGTTCCTCAGAATAGAGCTGCCAATAACCAGAGTTTTATCCTCAGCGGGTGTGTCGCTGAGTGGGGAAAAGCGGTTGGAAACGTGAACAGGCTGGTGGTGAGACGTGGGCTTCGGCTTGGAGCTGCGCCTCTCACGAACAGTTACCCAACCTCCCAGCTGAACAGGTGTTACCGGAGGACCGCTAGCGGAGGCTATGCTATGTGGCTCTGTACTGGCTACAGGGGACTGGCTAACTACCGCAGCTACTGAATAGTTTTCCATGGTGCGGAGCCGCGCTTCTAATTCACTAAGCCTCGCCTCCAATGCAGCAAATAAGCTACACTTATTACAATTACCACTGTCGCTAAAGGAGGCAGGGGCATAGCTAAACATTTGGCACACAGAGCAAGAAAGAGCAGATGGAGAAGCCATCGCTAACTGTTAAGCTAATGTAGCTACCAAGGCTAGTAACGTGCAGACAACAGCTAGGAGATTAGCAGGGAAGTCGTAAAAAGGAGGAGAGCTATAAGGGCTTAAACAGAACTAGTGTGGGTTAAGACTTGAAGTAGATGTTAAAGCAACTGAAGTGAGAAAGCAGAAAGCAGGCTAGTAGAATTCACTAGAGCAGTACAGAGACGCTGTCACAGAAACACCAGAAATGACACAACTCACTTACCGCAATACGTCAGCACGTCAGCCATACCAGTACCATATCAATAACTAATATGTTGTGGCATTTAGGCTAATAGTACTCCAGACAAGTTGACCATAGTTGTTCAGGCTCGTGCCAGCTGTCGTTGGAGGAAGGTGGCAGGCTTAGGGTTGGATAATTTTATCTTTGGAAGGTACTGACTTTTTGTTCCAATGCAAATTGAGTTTTAAAAATCAGAAATGACAGTGACCAACAACACACAACCAAGCAGAGACATAAAGGGTGATACAAGACGAGGTTTGATGTAAGAAAATAATGGATGAGGTTAAGGCATTTCCTCATGAGCCTTTTTGGCACATTTATTGTCTCTCCTGTAATTACCAATAGATGAAAGAAGGAGAGAACAAAGAAAGGCTACAGTATGCTTGATTATTAACTATTTGCTTATAGTCACTTTACCTCATGATCTCACCATACCATGTGCTACAGCTGCTATGGTTGCAAAGTTATCTACCATGCATAAATTACTAAAATGAAAATATGTTTGAGGTATGGAAATGAATGGACGCCTATCAGCTAAGAAGAGTATCATTTTCCATTCATAGTGTTGCATTGGTCATTGGTGCTACAGTAGTTTGTCTTGGACAGAGATAATCATTTCCTATAGGAGACATGCCATGCAGACACATACTGGTTTTGCTGTACATGCAGTTCAGTGTATTAATCAGTCCAGTTTTATGGGCTAAAAGCAGACATGGATGTTCAGACTCTTGTATAGAAATTGGTGGCTTTTCGCACAGTATATTTGATACCTCCCACACATCATCACCCTCCAGCCCACACACACTCTGATAAACATGTCCAGCATACACTCAAACAGCAGAACTGAAGCAGTCATACTTGTGAGCACGCACACACACACACACACACACACACACACACACACGCACACACGCACACACAGAGCCCTGTTCAGCTGCCTACAGATATGTGAGGTTGTACTCCAGAACATCAGCTCTACCTTTCAGATGATGCAGAATCACTAGTCACTTAACACACATTTAACTGAATCCATTTCACCAGTGAACGTTCCTTTTTTTTATGCAAATAGAGAATTATTGACCTGGGAAAAGGATCTTTGTGATTAACTTAAGTTGCAAGATTTTGTCCTCCCCTGATGTGATGATTACTCACATTTGTTCTTCAGACAACAATTTTACACAGTGCAGGCTTTAATGGGCTATTTTAGGTTTCTTTGATTGGCATTGTATCATCTATCATCAGTGTCAAAATGAAAAGAAACACAGATAAATTAAGGCTGATTGGCAGCCTCCATTTGTTTCTGTGCTGCAGTGCATCAGTACTGCTCTGGGTCAGGTTTGGCAGAAAAGCAGCCGATTACTTGACGGCACAAAAAAAGAAATGACTTTTCCAGTAAACACATTTTTATTCTAGTTATACTTCCCCGACAGCATGTTTTCAACTACATCTACATTTTATCCAAGCAGATGTACAGAATGAAAAGTTGTCATCGGGCAGAATGGCCCCTTATGATACATTAAGTAGTTTATCAAATGATTGTTATTACTGATTCACTAACAAGTAAGCACTTGCTTGCACTTCATGGTGAACTCTTGATTCACCAACAGAGCAATTTCATAGGAGATGTGTTTGGATTTCACCATGTCAAACTAAAGACAAAAAAATGGTGTTTGGGTCTTATTAGTTTTTTTTAACCATTACCCTCCTCCTCATGTCTACCAAGGTGAGGGAGATGTTTGTGGAGGTCAGCAGTCCTCTGCAGCTATAGCTCTATCTCTCTCACTGCAGCTCTGTATGGCATTATTATATTCGTTAAGCCATGACTTTGGAGTGATCCAGTCATCTAAGGGATGTGAGCACACACTGTGTGTCATGTGAAACTACATCACATCACTAAAGATAAAGATGCTGTGACTTTAGTGTAGGCTTTGGTGTAGATGTGAAATGCTGACATGACTGCCACCTGAAACTGGATTTACCAAACTCCTTCATGCTAATGTCTTTGCTACATGCTCCTCTGTGTCTCACTGTGTGTGTGTGTGTGTGTGTGTGTGTGTGTGTGTTTATATGCAGGGTGTGTATGCAGTGGGGAATTTCCAGCCCAGTGAGGATCGGTCCAGAAGTCGAACACCTACCCCAACCCTGAGAGAGCCCCCCCTCTCCTCCCTACCCAATGTCAGCCAGTCAGCAATTAGCAACAGCCACCAAGGTAAACCATTCCTGTCAGGTGTATTTTAGAATTACAGATAACATCACCCTGACATGCCAAGTACTGGAATAAATTTCCAGAAAAAATGCTGTACTTATATGAAATAAACAGAGGACCTTGTAGTTTAGCTTTGTTATGTCCCAGAAGTCTGAGTTTGGACATTCTAATGCAGATAGTCACAATGAAATAACGCTCTACAGAGTGAAATGCCATAAAAACAAAATGAACATAGAAAATACATGTTTGCCTTGTCACTACCCTGAAACAGCTAAAAACAGAATAAAATTTCAGGTAAATACTTACCTTCTTAAAATGTATATTTGTTTACTTTTTGACAGTTGTTTTTTGATCTAACCTAAAACTAAAAACATGGCAGGTATGTGCCATGACAGATATATATATATATTTTTTTTAGCTTAGCTCATTTACTTAAATCAACGTGTTGAACCCATGGATGTATTATAAGATTTGGATATCACACTCCCAAATCGTGCCTATTCAGTCCAGTGACAATTGCTCACCTGGAGCTTTCATTCCCCCTCGGCCCATAGACTTAACACTGTGATTGTTAAATCACTTTTCTTGGTTTAAGGAAAGACTTACAAATAAAAAATCTCCATGGTTCAAACTTCATAATAATCTCAGGGACTTGCCAGAGATAGTTACTATCTGTGGACCCCCTATCCCGTCAGTGATGGGATACAGTGAAGAGCCTGGGGAAGGTGTTTACATGCTCCGTTGGATTAATCTAGGAAACCCATTAGGCTCTGCGGAAGTGAAGATCTGTGAACAAATCGTGACTTCTGGTAAAGTTCAAATCCTGACGTAGCATTCTTCAACACATCCACTGGCCTTTGATGATCTACGAAGTCCAATTAACTACAGTGGAGGGCTTTGAGATGAACAGTAGCCATCTACCCTGTGAACAACTGGGCCTGCTCTGGAGTGTCATTAACATTGCTCTCTACAGTCACCAGACCAAGTTCAGGCTTCCCTTCAGCATCGTGAGCGAGGAGTTCATAGAGGCCCATATGAGAGATGTGCTCCAGTACAGCAACTCTAAGGGCCCTAGCACACAAAGCCGACTGTCGGCAGCTGGTCAGTCTTCAGTGAACGTCTGTTGCCCTAGTTTTTGCGGTGTATTCTGCATCATTGGCACTATTCAGCTCATGTCAGCCATTGTCAGCTGTTTCTTTCTTCTTCTTTTTTTGCATATTTAGCATGTTAAAACAGCTTTAGATGTAGCAGTCTTTTTTTTTAATGCCACTGAGCTCTTTAGAAAAAACAGTTGGAAATTGTTTGTGTTATTTGCTAGCGCATTGTAGATATCTTTTGTTGTTTCAACATCAGATTGTATTGTTAATGTACTAACTGGCTAACTAGCACGTTGAATCCATCCTGTTGGTCTTACGGTTTCCCTTTTTGAATGACTAATACAGACCACCGCCACCTGCTGGTGCGGAGAGTTATTTCCTCTCATGCAGGCTCAGGACATACGTTCTAGCTGGCCGTTGGCTATAATCTTTGCGGTGTGTCAATGTGAGGTGACACAACAGTTGCCCTTTGTTGCAAGTAGTTCTTTGATGTCTGTTTAGAGTGATTGGGCCTTAACAACCCCAGAGTTTTACATGCAAGCATCGAGGTGAGAACACTGAGGTAGTGGAGGGCAGAGGAAGCTCTAGAAAAGTCAGAATCCTGACTGCTTAACATTGTTCTGATATGAGCTGTGACAAGAGAAAGAGACCTGGGCTAGGCAGTGGCATTGTGGTGTGCTATGACCAAGCCCAAGACAAGAAGAGGTGAAAATCTGCACAGAACCCTCACACTCCTAGGTCTCTGGTAGAGGACCTGAGCTTCAGGATGATACAGATACCATTCTAAGGTATATATATACATATACAGTACAGGCCAAAAGTTTGGACACACCTTCTCATTCAATGCGTTTTCTTTATTTTCATGACTATTTACATTGTAGATTCTCACTGAAGGCATCAAAACTATGAATGAACACATGTGGAGTTATGTACTTAACAAAAAAAGGTGAAATAACTGAAAACATGTTTTATATTCTAGTTTCTTCAAAATAGCCACCCTTTGCTCTGATTACTGCTTTGCACACTCTTGGCATTCTCTCCATGAGCTTCAAGAGGTAGTCACCTGAAATGGTTT